GATCTTGTATTTTTTGAACATGAAGGTGGCTGAGCTCTGGAAGTTGCTCTTGTCCCCTGAGCCCACCTCCAGCAGCAAGGGCAGCGCCCGGGGCTTGGCCCCCTCTCCCACCCTCACCTTCCCCCCCAGACCCTCTTTCTCCTCCTCCACCTCCGGCATCCCCTCTGTGCATCTGATGGGTCCCTGGGTCTCCCTGGCTTTTGCCAGCCTCTTCTTCAAGCTGAGGTCCAGGGCGATGCTCTCAGGGGCTAGCTCCCCACTCCCTGCCCTGCCAGGGCTGCCCCCGTGAGACCCTGGGTCTTGGGGCACAAGCTTTGGCTTTTCAGGGACTCTTCCATAACAGCTTTCCCCTTGGCTCTGGACCGCACCGCTGCCTGTCTTCAGCGCCTGGCCGGGCCCCGTCCCCACAGGCAGCAGGCTGGGCATCACCGCCACGTCTCCAAGGGCAGCAGGCTCACGGCTGCTCCCTGTGATTTGGGGTGGGGTGTCCCCCCGCAGACGCTCCCTGGAGAAGGGGACCTGGGCTGAGCCCTCGGTGCCCTCCAGGTAGTCTTGGTAAGGTGCCAGGCTGAAGACGTTGTTGATCACTGGCATGGGCGGGGAGGAAGGAGAAACCTCGGTGTCTCTCGGGACTTTTGGCCCCTCCGGGGGGGAGGCAGCCGGAGAAGGGGGGATGAGCTCCTTGGCTGCCTCCTTGACCTTGCAGGCACCTCCCTTCCCTGCGATGATGGGAGCCGGCAGTTCCCCACGGGGGGTCTCCTGGGGGGCCGGGCTGGCCCTCCTCCTCCCTGGGTAGGGGGGGTCCTGCTCCCCCTGGCTGGCCTTCACCCAGCCCCCTTCTCCTTTGGGAAAGGTCTCTGCCAGCCCACCAGAGCCCCCAGGAGCCTTCTCCAGGACGCAGACGGGTTGGAAAGCACTGTTGTGCCTCCCCACTGCTCGCCGCTGGGGACTGTCCGCCCGGTGCTGCCGGCAGCCCGGCTCCCTGCCGGCCAAGGAGCTGCCAGGTACGGCTGTGTCACCGGGGCTGAAGGCAAAGCCAGGGCTTGGCAAGTAGCCGGCTCGCCGTGGCTGCTCGGCATCCCTTGGCAGTGCCGCCGACTTGGCAGGCGGTGATGCCACCGTACTGCAACCATCTGCTCTTGGCACATAGGTGTCCACGGGGCTGGGAAAGTAGCTCCTTGGGGCTTGGGGCTTAAGGTAAGCGCTGGGAAAGGGCTCCCTGCTTCCCGCAAAGCCAAAGCCTTTGTAGGCGCCAGGCAGGGTGCTGGGCTGCACCTCCAGGGTGGGAGCCGGAGGGTGGTAGAGGAGGGCAGCCTTGTGGAGGGGCAGCGGGTAGTGGGTGTGTGGGTAGCATGCCGGTGGCCTCTCCCGGTACGCCGGGCTGGCGGCAGGCGGCTGGAGCTTGAGCCAGGGGTCCGAGCTGAGGCTGGGGACCTCGGGCACCTTCCTCTGGCTGTGGGCAGTGGGGCAGCTGGCTTCCAGGAAAGGGGTACGGGGGGGTCCCCTGTATTTCTCAAAGGCTGCATAGTAAGGGGAGAAGGCGACTGGGGAGCCCACCTTCTCCTTGGTGGGCGGCGCCAGGCTGGGGTGCGGTGGTGGGAGGCTGGGGTTGGAGTGGGGACCCCTCTTGTGCAGTCCAGTGCCGCTGCAGGGCTCGCTGGGGTGGAGAGGGTGGTTGGCGGTGGCAGGCAGAGTCCAGTCTGCATTCCCTGGCCTCTGCTGCAGGCTCTCTGCCCGGGGTCCCAGTGGCAGAGCCATCCTGGGGTCCACGAAGCACGCCGGGGCTCTGTACACTGGCTTGGGGACAGCCAGGGGGGCCACCTTGTTCACCGCCACTGGCTTTTTCACCGGGAAGGGGTGCCCCAGAGCCGGCGGCAGGCCGGTCCACTTCTCCCTCGCCATCAGCAGCTCCCGCATGAGGCTGTCCTTGCCCTTCTCAGCACCCAGGGGCTGCAGCCCGCTCCCCAGGCTCTCAGGTCGGTACAACAGGCAGCTCACTGGCAGCC